GGCAAACAACAACCCCCCAGCCCCTTTCCACCTATGGCCTTTGTTCTTGGTGCTCCTGTGCTTGGAAGGTGAGGCTCTGACTTCCCATGCTTCCTCCTCCTCAGCTCAGACATCGCCTTCCTGCCCATGTCCCCTTCTCCACCCCATGGCCCCGTCATGTGTCTTGCTCAGCAGTCAGCACAGCATGAACCTTCCTTGTCCATGAAGGGGCAGTACATGGGCTGGTTAGGAGAGCTCTGGAACTGGACAACCTCGGGTCCCATTCCAGTTCTGCCTCCTACTAGCTGTGTGACCTTGAGCAGGTTGTTTCACTTCTCTGATCTCGTTCCTCATTCACGCCGCGGGAAATAAGTGCACCACTGCTCGGCTAGTTCTGAGGCACAGAAGAGTCCGTATCAGTCAAGCCCTGTGCCCGGGTTGGCCTCACTGAGCCTCCCGGGAGAATGGGAGCTCTGTGCGAGCAGGAGCTTCTGCAGCCCCCCACCCCACCCCACCCCCGGGAATGCTGCGCTGACCAGGCATTCGAGCCTTGTGTTCTGCTTACTGGTGCTGCCTTGTGTCTTCTTAGGCTCGACACAAAAAGCCTGGAGCGAGCGAGCATGGACTACGAGGCGCCGCTGATGCCCTGTGGCTGTATCCTTCCGCATCCCCTCTGCACGTCCTTGGCCTGGGGGCCAGGCTGGAATCCAGGGACAGGGCAAGGCCCTTGTGGCCCAAGGCAGGGTCTGGGCCTTAGCTGCTGGCCAGGGTTTCAGGCAGGCCTCAGCCTCAGCAGAGGGAGCTGAGCCGCCACGCAGGGAAATCTAGGAGAGGTGGGAGGGTTCCCTGGTCCTAGAGCACACTGGGCGCTGCTGGGACTGGGGCAGCACTGGGTCCCACCCCCTAGGGGGTGGGAGTCACAGGAGGCAGCACCAATGACTCCAGCCCGAGGGGCCAGAGAAGCTGGAACTGACCCCAGGGACTAGACTGGGGGCTGCCCCTGGGACCGGGCAGGGAGGAGCTGAAGACAGAAGGAACGATAGCTAGTTCACTGGGCCCCTACCGAGTCCCGGCACTGTTCACAGTGGGTTGCCTGCATTAACTGACTGTATTAGTCCCATGTGGTGGGTACTGCTAGCATCCCATTTCACAACTGGGAAAACCGAGGCGCAGAGAGGTCAGTAACTTGCCCAGGGCCGCATAGCTGGGTGAGTGGACACAGGCAGCCTGGCTCTCTCACTGGCCTGTTCTCCTGCGAGGACTGCCTCTGGCTGTGATATTGCCCGGGAGCCACCTGCCACTCTCAGGTCTCCTGCCCAGCCGGCTCCTGGGAATGTTGGCAGTGAGCGGGGGACTGCTGCTGGAGGGCTTGGTGCCTGGTAGCGCAGTGGTGGGTCACCCTGCACAGCCCATCCCTGTCGATGCTATGAAGGTCCAGTGTCCCCCGCCCCCTGCAGCAGCCAGCCTACTTGAAACGCATGGAGGAGGGAACAGGTTCTCTGTTCTTGTCATTTTGCAATCAGGGAAACTGAGGCATGAGACAGTTTGAGTCCTGGTCAATTTGTTCAGCCCCATACAATGAGTTTGTGACACAAACGTGTCCCCATTCTTCCAGCCCCCTTCCTGGAAAGCCCCGTCCCCTCCTGTCTCCTGGGGCCTGGAGGAAGGTTTCGAATTCTTACACACACACACACACACACACACACACACACACAGTTTAAATGAAAGAAGGCCTGATGCCATATATATTTTGATAGGATTCAGTCTCTGTGAGTGGAAAAATCATTTTTTGCTCTTGTTCATCTATATAAACCAAAAAAATTACATCCCTATATTATCTTTGTCATTGTTTACTTTGGTCTCAGACAAATCAAGCTGTTTTTCCTTAATAACATGTCCCAGTCATTTTTCAGTTTCAGCTCCTGACCAGCTGGGGCGACCCCTATTACATCGGTCTCACTGGGCTGGAGTTATATGACGAGCGGGGAGAGAAAATCCCTCTGTCGGAAAACAGTATCCTTTCTAGCAGCAGGGGCTCCACCAGACTGCAGGGAGCATGGAGAGGTGGGGGAAGGAGCAGAAGCCTTGAATGTAGAGGAAAGTGTCCCTGTAGGATCCAGACCTGGGATTAAAAGTGCCAGTGGGCTCTACTTAGAGCCAGATGCTGACCCTTAGGGGTGGGCAAAGCAGTGAGCAGCTCCAGTCATGCCTAACAAGGGATCCTTGGCAGGAGTTCCACAGCAGAGTCCTGTGGTCCAGGGAATTGGAAGGGGCTACCAACTGCGGCCCCCCTTGGAGAACCACAGCACTTTGGAGTTCTGAAGGCTCTGACAAGTCCTGTAGGGAGCAACCTGTTACACTGTGTTCAATTCAATGTATCCTGAATTTGTTGACCATGGGACCCTTTGTTCATGGAAGGCCCACACAACGATTTGCAAACTGTTAGCCCAGTGAGTTTTTAACTATTTTAAATTGGCATTTAAAAAAAATCAGTTTTCATATGAAAACCCCAATCTTCAGCTTCTCTTGAGAACTTGTCAATGCCAAGCCACAGTCATGCACTGTGAAGGTGGCTGGACATGAGTATCGGCTACCCTTTCCCCCAAGCATGCCCTGGCTGATCTCAGTCCTCAGTCCTTACTGTTCTCTTCCAGGCCCCCGAAACCCAATGTTAATATTTACTGAGGCCTCCTCTGTGTCAGGCACTGTGCCAGGGCTTGTCACATGGTATCTCATTTGCCCTCACAACGATCTTGTGAAGTGGGTGCTGTTATCCCCATTTTACAGATGAGGAACCAAGACAGAGAAGCTGAGTAACTTGCCCAGGGTCACACAGCCAGTGAGTGGTGGAGCTGGGAGTCTGACTCCAGAGACCATGCTCTTGACACTGAGCTGCCCTGCCTCTCTGATGTAACCTGCCTGACCCCTCTGGGTTCTTGGTCTCTGACCCCGACACACCACCCTAAGGACCTGCCAGAGCAGGTCAAACCCCAGAGCCTGCCTTGCATCTCTTTGGGGTCCCTGGGTTCCAATGGGGTCCTTTTCTGCCTTCTGCTGGTGACCATCCTCCTCACCTGGGATAAATGATTCTTGCTGGTTTTGATCATTAGGCCCCATGGTTTTACTAGGAGAGCTCGCATCCAGTGTCCTTTGAGGCCTCCCATCTCTGCGTGGTTTCCTCCCCTCTCCTTGGGACCGGCCTCCCAGCCTCACACTCAGCCCCACTCCCTTCGGCCTCCATGCCCTCATTTCCCCAGAACTTGTCTAATTTGGCTGTCACTGCTCAGGCCGCTCCGCTCAGGCTGCTCTGCTCGCCAGCTCCACCCGAGCCCCGCAGTCTGTGGTGGAGGTGGCGGCCGCGAGGGTGGCGCAGGGTACCGAGCACACTGCTGTGAGTTATGGCAGCTTAGAGCCTCCTCAGACATCGCCGCCTTCCCCGACAGCGTCAACTCCCTGGAGGGCGTGTGCGGGGACGTCCGGACCCCTGACAAGCTCATCGACCAAGTGAACGACACCAGCGATGGCAGGCACATGTGGCTGGCTCCCATCCTGCCTGGCCTGGTGGGTTCTGGAGGCTCCCAGCCCTGGGGGGGACTGGGAGACTTCCTGTCCCCGGGCTCAGTGACACATCTTCCAGACCAAGTTAATTTGGAGCAAGTCCGAGTACAGGGGAACCGCCAGTAAGGCTCGGGTGTTTGCTAACGCACCTAAGGGTCAGCTTTTCTGGGCCAGCGGTTCTTTATCTTTGCTGTGGGGAGGGGGGCATATAAGGGACACCAGGGAGAGGAAGGGCCACATGGGACTCTGAAGCCGAGAGCCCCAGTGCAACAGGCCGGGGGCTGGGCATCCGCCCTGCGGGCATCATTCTCTGATGCCCTCCCCTGGCTCTGCGTCTCTCTAGCCCACGCTGGCCTCTCCGGAGACATGCACTCCTCCTGCGCCTTCCTCGTGGCCCCGGGCACTTGACCCCAGTCATGCCCTCTCTCTGGCACCAAGTCTGCCTGGTCATCTCCTCCAACCACCTGACTCAGTTTCCCCAATCCCAGACCTGCAATTGGTTCTCCTTATCTTTTTTCTCCAATGCCTGACGCAGAGCCTAGGGGTGCGCCTTTGCCACCTGGGCCTGGTTGATGGTGGGGAGGGAGGAGAGAAGCCAGGAGATGGGACAGGTGGGCTTAGCACCCTGCCAGCCTCTTGGCCACAGGGCCAGATGCCGGGACAGCGATGTGTAGCAGAGTCTGGGGCGTCTGTGTGACCACTGACGCGCCCCCTTTTCCACTCCGTGGGATCGGGCAGGAAGATAAGGGGTACACTTTCTCTCAAAACACCCACAGGAAGGGCAGTATCCACAGTTCTGTGAGGGGGGGGGGTTCCAAAGCCCTTCCCCCAAATCCCCGGCCCCTCCATCAAGGGTCCATCAGCTTCCTTTGAGGGTTTATCAGCCCCCTGGCCCCAGCCCCACCATTGCAAAGGGGAGTACACAGATCGATCAGCTCTTAGACCTGGACCCCAAAGTTGTGGCCCCCAAGCCAGTCCAGCCTGCTGCCGTCTTGAGCTTGGCCAGCTGCATTTGCCACCCTCTTTCACTTGGGGCACTCTGAGGATGGCCACAGCCTGAGAACCGGGGCAACACTGGGCAAAGCAGCCTGCAGCCTGTGGCCCACACTGAATGCTTGTCGCTTGATTCTGTCTGGCAAGGAGCCCTGGTATTTGAGAGTCTCTGTTGGGGAGGGAGGAGGGGTGGTGATTGGGCCCCATGTCACTAGCCCATTCTGCCTCTGATCTGGACCCCCCCACTCCCCACAGAGATTCAAAGACACACTGAAAATGACCCCGCAGAGCCTCAGGGCCTGTCTGCTGGGCTTTTCATTTACGATTCCGGGAAGGACAAACGGGTCACGGCTGTGCCAATTGCTGGGCAGTCAGTGCTCCTTGACTCAGGAGCCGAGGCCCGTCCCCTCGGCCACGGTGCCCCAGGCCGTGTTTCTGGCCTGCCCTGGGGGAAGGGAAGGGTGCACCCATTTCCCTGCGGGTATTTAAATAATGGGGGCCGTGCCAGGCCCAAGAAAGCAGGCCCTCCAAGAGCCAGCTCAGCGGTTTGTTGCAAACGCAGCCACACGTGACCTGACTCTCGATGGGCTTCGAGGAGATGAAAGGCGGTGGGAACCCCTGCCCGGTGGCCCCGAGCAGCCCAGGCTGGCCCACGTGGCAGGCACTCCGCCCCCGCGGGCTCGCCCCCACGCCTGGCGCCCCCACCCAGCCCGGAGCCCGTGTTTGCAAACATGCCTGTGGTAATTAGTTCTCCCTGACAGGTGAACCGGGTTTATGTGATTTTCGATCTGCCTACCACCGTGTCAATGATCAAACTGTGGAATTACGCGAAAACACCCCATCGAGGGGTGAAGGAGTTTGGCGTAAGTGCTTATTAGCTGGCTTTTTTGAGATAATTATGATCGTTGGTAATTAGGCCACCGGCAGTTATCGTTTGATGCGGTTTGATTGACTTCTCTCTGCTGCAACCTGAGACACACATGCCTGGTCCTCCGTGCAGGGAGATTTCCCGGCCAACCGTGACTCGAAACCTCCGAGTGATTTGAATCATCGCTCTGACAAAACAGAAAGTGGCTTTTCTTTCATCTTTTCTTCCTAAATTGTACTGATTTAGGGGGTTCTTTGTGCCGGGAGGGACTCTGGGTTGGGGACAGGGGCCCCCGGGGGCCTCCCAGCTCTGCCTCGTGGGCTAAGGGTATTTCAGTCCCTTGAGCCTCAGGGACTAATGGCCTGTGCCTTGTCGGTGGTTGTGAGGATCTGAAGTCCTAGCGCAGGCCAGCACACAGTAGGCCAGGCTCGGCACACAGTAGGCCAGGCTCTGTGGAGTGATGCACTTCGCCCAAGGTCACGTGTGGGAGGGAGGAAGGGACCTGTCAGCCCTGCCACAGAGCCCCTCCTCTGTGTCTGTTCAGCTCCTGGTGGACGACTTGCTCGTGTACAACGGGATCCTGGCCATGGTGGGCCACCTGGTTGGGGGCATCCTGCCCACGTGCGAGCCCACGGTGCCCTACCACACCATCTTGTTCACTGAGGACGTGGACATCTGCCACCAGGAGAAACACACCTCCATCAGGTGCGTGAGCCACCCCCAACCTCCCAGCCAGCCCTAACCAGGACCGGTGGCAGGGACACAGCCTGGACCCGATCGAATCTTGTCTCCCCCTGCAGCAGTCAGGTGGAGGACCAGGACGTCCAGATGATGAATGAAAACCAAATCGTTACCAACTCGAAGAGGAAGCAGAGTGCAGCTGACCCAGGTCCGCCCCGGTCCTCTGCCTGGAGCCCCCCTCAGGAGTCTGGGCTGAGTAGAGAAGGAGCTGGCAGCATTGCACCCCCCTCTGGCCCCTGCCCGCCCTCAGACCCCTCTTCTCCACCAGAGCCTGGCTGGGGGCTGAGGAGGGGCTGATAGAGGCAGACCCGGGCAGCATGTGCCCCCTTCCTGCAGGCCCCGCGTGGCCAGTGCTGCAGAGGAAGAGGCCGTTGGGCAGAAGCATATTCCCAAAGGGGTTGCCCTGGGTCATGGCAGACCGGTAGAGGGTAACAGGGCGAGGGCTTCTCAGAGGAGGTGGTGTTTGAGCCGCATAGGACAGCATGAGCGGAGGCCTGGAGCGGTCAGTGGCAGGAGTGCCCTGCTCAGAGGCTGCTGGGAGCTGCAGGCGGGGGCCGGGCCTCCAAGGGCCTAGAGTGGAAACCCAGGCAGCTCTAGACTCCAGCCTGAGGGTGCAGGGCTGCCCTCGGTGCAGCAGGGTCATGCTGATCCCTCTGTGCTCTCCCTCCGCAGCCTTACGCCCCAAAACCTGCCTGAGCGAGGAGACAGCAAGGCGGCGGCGGTGCTGACCAGGGAAGACGGGAGCGCTGGTCCTCGGCCGGCGCGGGGCTCCCTCGCTAGTCCCCACTCCGCACCCGTTGTCCCCGCGGCCCCCGTGTCGGCCAGCCTGGACCCCGGCGGCTGGAGGAGGGCTGTGGCGTGGAGGGGAGCCCGCTGGGGAGAAGGAGCTCCAGGGCGGGGTGGCCTGGAGAAGGCGGCAGTTACGGGCGGGAGGAGGCCAGGCTGCTGCCTCGGGCCTTCCACTCTGCCCTGCAGGGAGCCTGGGGCACCCTGCTCGGGGCCTCTCCTGTAAGATCCAGAAAAACGGCAGTTGTCCACGCAGTCCTGCCTGGGTCCCCTGAGCCGGGTCTGACTCGGGCCTGGACAGCGAGGTGGGCTGGGGCCTCCCATCCAGCCCAGAGCCTGAGCAGGCACAGCACAGGGGCCAAGCCTCAGACATCAACACTCGGGGGGGTGCCCGGAGGCTCCACGGACACCTCCCTCTCCCCCCACACGCCTCTGCCTCATTTGGGGGATGGTGGAGCTGCCGAGAGGCTGGGACTCTTCCCTGGACCCCACATGTCTAGCCAGGACTGCTGCAACCTCCTCACTCATCCGTGTCCCGCTAGGGCCCATTGAAAAGGACAGATCCCCTCGGAAGAACTGCTTCTGCAGGGGTCCCTGTCCCCTCCTCAAGCCCGAGGAGGGATTGGCCAAGGGCATGTGCCCCGCTGAGGAAAGGAAGGGAGCTGGACCCACCCTGGCAGGCCAGGAGCTCGTCTCTGCGGCGCTGCCAGGCCCAAATAGGACCTGCAGGCTGGCAGCTTTGCGCCCCAGGGCCAGCGGGGCCTATCCACATGCCCTCTGGCTGCAAGGCAGAGAACCAGGGCCAGAACCCACCCTCAGCCCCCAGAGGCTACACCCGTCCACATGAACCCTGGAGGAGGCGCCCTCCCTGCCCCCCCTCCCCGTCCCTAGAGTGACAGCGGTGTCTCTTGCTCGCCTTCCTCCCTTCTGTCCACGTCTGTGCCCTTGGAGTCAGGCAGTGGGGGTCTTGCCACCCAGCCCACTCTTCTCCCCCTTCCAGCAGCTCCCCAGCAAGTTGGAAACGTGCCTTGCACCCCAGCCGAGTGGAGCCCAGAACACATCCATTTCCATCTATGTAACAAGCTCGGATCAGGGACCTAATTGGTTTCCCAGTGGTGGGTAATTTCTCGTTCCCAATATTAATCCGCTGTTTTCCTGGCACCCAGCCCGGCCGCGTTACTGTACTCAGAGTACGTTCCTATGCAACCGAGAACCCAGCAAATACTTTACGAGCCTTGCAGCTTCCTCGGGCAGCTATGCAAACGAGCTTTTCATTGGGAGCGAGGGTCGATGTGAAGATAAGGCATTGTTTCTCCCCAAGAAGATCCATCATCCCTGTAGCTCCCAAGCCCCCTGCTTCTCCGCTCACCTCCCAGACTCGGCGCCTCCAGGGCCCTGGACGCGCAGAAGAGCTGACGCCTGGAGAGGGGGCTGATCAAAGGAGCTCTTAGTGACCAAGGCCAGTGCCAGGCCTTACAGGGAGGCCCGCCGTCCACCCCGCCTGGGGCACCGGCACCAGCTCAGGTCAGCTTTGCCGGGAACATTGCCCAACACCAGCACGCTTGCTCCTGGAGTCTCAGCCGATGTTTATAGTAATTGTATGTACCATGCAATTTCGGAGGAAAGAAAGGCTGTTATAGGCATTAACTCTAAAATAAATTTCTATTTTTTTCTCTTGCAAAATCAATAAAAGATGTTATTAGTAATATACTTTGGCACACTGGGTTTGGGGTCAGAGGTAGCCCATGCTGCCTCCAGGAACTGAGCCAGAGTCCACTGCAGGCTGGCCAGGTGGCACAGGGGATGTCCCCTCTCTGCGCTTTGTTCCCCCACCTGCAGATGGTGTCATGGTCCTGGTGCCGCCGTGGTGCTGTGTGAAAAACAGATGCTATAAGCGCATACATATATAGTGGTTATTTGTGCTTGGTACTGACTCATTTAACTCACGTAACAACCCTACGGGGTAGGCACTACAGTGATCCTCCTTTTATAGATAAGGAAACTGAAGCACAGAGAGGTTGAGTAACTTAACCCAAGATGCACAGCTATTAGGCGCTGCACAAATCCTGAGATGACCACAGAGAGCTGGGTGAAGCCCCCCGGGGCCGGCTCTGGGAGTCCCTTCACCATGGGTGGACCCCGGAAGCCCACACCCAGGTGCCTGATTCTTGGCCCCCACTTAGGTTCCCACTCCCCTGCTTCCTTCTGGCAGCTCTTGGCATTTGGACAGAGCAGCCCCTGAGTGGAGGGAAGGTTCAGTTGAAGGGGTGGGGCATCTGGATTGCAGCTTGGGTGCCAGCAATTGCCTTGGCGATGGATAAGTGTGCCCTTTGGAAACCCACCTCGATCACTGTACCAGGGTGAGGGGAGTCCCTCTGTCCATCCCCTGCCCCCATTGGCAGAGGATGTCAGGGCCTCTGGCAGGCCTGCTCCTGCCCCCCCCCCCAAGTTCCTAGGAAGGCAGCAGGGCCCCGCTCTGCGCAGGCAGCCCGGTGCTGGAGAGCCCTCTCCTCCGTCCCCCTGCGGGTGTATATCTGGGCCAGCCCTGGAGACCCTCGAGGGCAGGCAAGCCCTTTGGCGTTCAGCTATGGGTGGGAGGCCAAGTGAGGCGCCCCCATTTCTCAGCCACGATCAACCTCTCAGCCACCAGCCAGTGCCCTTGGCCTGGGTCCCTGTCATTCAGGGAGCAAAGCTGGCCTGGGAGGGCCTGGTCAGCAGGACAGCCCAGTGCCAATGGTCCAGCAACACCAGGTCTTTAAGGTTTTTAAGAGAAGCCAGAAATTTAGGGGTTTAATTTATTTTTAATGTAAAATATAACTGAAATGTTGGCTCAACTTAACCAAGCAAACAAACAAACGAGTGTGTCAAATAAGACTGGTGACAAGT